TTTTACATTTTCTTTTACGTTTATATAATGTCAGCATTTCAAAACAGCACTCGATGAGTAAGTGCAAAGGAACTGCAAAGCGGGCAGTACAAGTACAGGACCACACGGAGCTGGACTTCACACCCAGACGCACACACAATGAGTGGCTTCAATGGGGTGTCAAGAGTAAGCATGGAAAGCGGATTTTGACTCATGGGTAACCTCCAACATGCCAGCACCTATTAAACTGTACAGACAGTGGGAGCAAGCCTATTGTAGGGAGATCTGTCTCACACCCGAGCAGCTCTGGGGCAGATGCATGGGAAAAACTCAGTGATGCCAAACCAGAGACAGACCTGCCCTTTCACGGTTCTGACTGCAAATGAAACGTGGGAGGAAGGCGAGAGACCAAAAAATAATAATAATACACATAAGAAGTAAGGGGAGGAGGTGTAGACAAATGGGGGTGTCGGTGGAGGTGGCTTCCAAAAGGAAAACCAGTGATCACAGCTCTGAGAGCAATGAATGGAGGGAAGGAGGTTAAACTGTTAAACTGTTTTTTTGTTTGTTTGTTTTCAGGAAACTAAAAAAAAAAAATGGTTGCTGCCGTCGCTAAGGCACCAGAGAAAAACAGAGTCCCTGAAAGGCCACAGGTACTATGTGACACTTCTTGCACAACGACACAGAGGGAAAGAACCCCCACTTAACCTTCCAAAACGCACGGTTTGCAACCTTTCCCATGCACGTGATACTGGCAAGAGTCTTCCTGGGGAAGAATGCAAGTCTATGAAGACCACCACAAACAGAAAACCAAAGTACAGAACCGCTACTAAAGTCCCTAAACCTTTCCAAACCAACATGCTAGGGGCGGGGAAAAACACCACAGGGCTCCAACATCAGACCTTGATAACATTGAGGACAAAATATTGATTAAAAAGTCATGTTGTTCCAGGTCCCAAGATGGAGTCTTTAGATTAGGAGGGCGATGACCACACGTGAGTCCTGTATGGAGCAGTGTCTCGGCCATTTGTGACTCTTCTTAGCCACATCTACATTGGGTGTTTCAAAGCCTCAATGGGTGTTTTGTATCCTGAAAGACTATTGTTCTCACTTACAAAAGACATAAGAATCAAATTAATACTTTATTATCAAACACTATATACAACAGAGGTTGCTAATAATACAGAATTTAAAGAACGCAGTTTGTTTTTTTTAAACGTTTTACTTTTCTTTCCTCTGCCACCCAAGAAAGTACAGTACAAAACAATAGTCTAAACTAACACGAACCGTTACCTGGTCTATTAAAGGATACACGGTATCCACTAAACAGACAGATCCTTATTTCCCTGCTTCATGTTGCAAAGCCCTTGGCAACCAGGGGCAAAGGTCGCTGGGGTTTGACTGACTGGGGCTGAGAGGCGGCAAAGGCTGCCCTTCAGACTTTTGAAGTGTTTTTGAAATTAAAAGCTGTTATAAAGTTGCATCAACATCCTCCTAAGCCCCCGGAGGGTTGTAACACCATCACAAAAGGCCACCAGCACTTCTTGGACAAGATGAAAACCGTCTGATACCAGTCATCTTCTCAAACTCCGTGGCAAGCATTACCTACAATGACGTCACTTCTAGGTAAAGAAGCACACTGTCTACTGGTGTGGGTAGTCTTGCTTTTTTTTTTTTTTTTTTTTACACTTAATTTGTCGTGGCACAACGGTGAAGTAAAGGGGTCTAATTTCACTGTGAAAAATGAAAGACGATGGCAGAGAGGGCCATGAGTAATTATTTTATCATTTGTTAGAGACAAATGCTAGAAAACCACAGAAGTCACCATTTCTAAAATGAAATTAGCACTGCTAATGTAGTTATGACTAACTGGAATCATTACAGGATCATTTGATTTCTTTGTGGTTATAGAACATGCAGGATTATTTTGGTTCTGACTAGTGATCCACTTTAGAAGGTATCTTCCCTCCCCGCCCCAACCCAGATCCCACTGGACCAACAAGCCTGTCACTATTAATAAAAAGCATTACTGAGAGTGCTGAGTATATAACTAGTTAATGCAGAAAAGAACCCAATGCTGTGAACTTCTGTTTCAGTGAAATGGTGGCTGCCTTCTGTGATAAGACTCGGCCACTCGAGAGCAGTTCTGATGTCCGGGGGACCAGGGCCGATGGTGTCTGCGAGGCTGGCAACCCTGCTCACGCGGTTCCAAGTGCGAACAGACCCAGCGTTAGCATCCACTCCAGGCGGATCAGGTAAGCCCAGATTACATTTCGACATGTGTACAACTCTCCAGGGTGCAGTGCCTTTACAGCTGCCTTTCATTCACGTATTTCTCTAATTCAGAACTACTCACAATTCTTAGCAAATTCCCATTCATTAAGTCAATCCATAACATGACCCTTTTTTTTTTAACATGTACATTTAAAAAAAAATATATGAAAACACCCTTACTGTGCTGGAATGCTTCCAGTTTTTCACATCTTATACGATCATTGTATTTATTGTTTTGTTTTGAAAGGCATGGTTTCTATTGTGTCCTGCAAGAGCAAAAAAAAGGCTTGACTTTTCTTCCACCGGTCTAACACTTTTCCCTATCTAGGCTTTGGAGTTCAAAGTTCGTGACAGCCTCATCAGTAGAAACCCCAAGGCTTGCATTTCCTGGTAATTGTGGCCATGCTCAGGTTCTTTAAACAGGGTCACCCTGCGTTGAGTCTCCTCTTGCCCCTTTAAACAGGGTCACCCTGCGTTGAGTCTCCTCTTGCCCCGCCCCCACAATGAAACAAGATAGCCCCCCATATTTCTAAATGTATCAAGGGATACCACTTTTTCTCACAAATTTAAATAGGACAAGCATATATACTCACTCTCAGCATAAAGTATATCTAAATAATGTATTTTCTATTCTAGTGGATTTTTAAAAAAATATTTTGTTAAAGTCTTTGGGACTCCATCTTGTTTATCTCCCACAGATAAACACGTTCCCCCTAAACTTTAGGCTGTGTCAGAAAGGGAAGGAATATAAAAGCAACTCTTGAATTTTTTCATTCCAAGCTTTGGAATTTTTATTCCAAATTTCCCTTTAGCCCTCCCCAGTAGTGCTGACTGACTGTCCTGGGGACAGGGGTTGGTGTCCGAGCCCCCGTAGTCGTGGAGTGTGGAGCAAAATGTGGGTACTAGGGTGGGAGTCGGGGAAAGGCCACAGCACACTGGCGCTCCAGCAAAGCCAAATGACATCTCCTCTGGCCACTGACATCCTTTCCTTGGTCCATACTGTCCCCCAGAGGAGCATCCAAAGCTATTCCGTATACACTCATCAACCCTGGCTTCTCAGCCTCGGGGAAGGTCACTTTATTCATAAAAATGCCTCTTTCAGTTAAAAAAAAAAAAGAAGAAGTTGTAGCACCATGGTGATCTGTATTCAAAGGAAAAAAAAATCTGGTGTGCACTGACCAGTCACCAAAAAAAATTAGAGGCACTCACACATACCCCCACCACACCTGTTTTCACAACTTGCTCTGTGCTAGCATTCTGGCACCCGACCCGCTTCCTTGAAAAAAAAAAGGCTTCTTTTTACGGAGCACAAGTTTTGCTGTCAAGAATGCTTTAAGACAGTCATCTTTTTAAAAAGAAAAAGAAAAAAAAACAACCCAGTGTCTCAACCTTTTAGAAGCCTGTTCATTTATACACTCCTAGAGGATATGGTGTAATAGTATATCTAGTCTCAATACCGCCCCTCTGGACTTGACATGGTGACAGGACGCCCTGCAAGGTCGTCATCCAGTCCTGAAGGAGAAGGCGTAAGTACTGTGTGGGAGAGGAAAACCCTCCTGGGCCTCGCCATCACTGGCTGCGTCTGCCACTATCCTTCCTCGTCCGTGTACCGCGGACGCTGCGCTAGCGGAGGTGAGCTCTTGGAGGAGAATGCACAGGAGCTGACGACCACTGGTGTCACTATGACAATTTGGCATTTTCATCTGGAGTCCATTTAATTTGGAAGAGGTGAGAAAGGGCAAGGGCGGGGGTGGGGTGACTGGGGTGAGGGAGGCAGCAACTACTTGAGCTCTCCCTGGCCCCAAGTTGTTGCCCAGAATTCAGGCTGCAAGAAACAAAACAAAAATCTGACATCTGCCAAAAAACCGATAACAAGTCCCTTCTTAGGATAAGCAGTTAGGTGGATCTCTGGTGTTCCAAGACCCTGATGTTTTCTGTGACAGGTGACGGGAGGAGACTGTGCTATAATGTCAAAAGCATCGCCAGGAGGAACAGTAGGATTGCCAAAAGGCGGCTGGATATCCTTGGTGTCTGGGCCGCGTTCTCGCCGCGGGATGGCTCGGCTGACTCATGTACGGTGTCATCTGTTCAAATAGAAAGCACACATTCCAATGAGATTTCACATCCTTAATAACTCTCTTGCAGCAGCCTGCTGGTAACAGACCTCGCCACCCTCTGCAAAGTAGGGTAATGAACCTTGTGCCACCATTGACTTTGATGTCTGCATAATCACTCATTATTTACAGCAAACAAAGGAGAGGCAGGGAAAATTGGACTTGCTCAGCAATGTTCATACTTTCCTTAAAAACTGAGGTGAAAAATGTTTTCACACTGTAACCTTTGGCACGTGAGCTACTTTGACTGCTAGCAGTCAAACACACCATGCACAAACTTGAGATGTGAATATGCCTTTTAAACCCCATGTGTCATGGAGAAGCAAGTAAAATGTTAGGGGGCGGGGGTGGCAGGATGCAGTTAATGTTGGTATATTAGTGGTTAACCAGAATGGGCTGCCCATTTTCCTCTTGTTTAGTGGTTTCACAGGATTAGTGTTGAATGCCTGGTTATTGGATGCCTAGATGAATTTTAAAATATGAAGAATTAAATGCCAGAACAACAGCATTTTAAATAAGCTATACAACATACTCACTAAACCTAAATAAATCTGTACCCACTGGTTTGCCTACAATTGGGAAATCAGTCAGGGTGCTGTTTCTATTACAAACCCTGTAATGCCAGGATTAAATTACTTGAACTTGACTATTTTTATTTTTATCAGGCTGAAGATGGGCACACAAATTATCGGCGTGGATGCAAAGTTTCCTCTCAATAAATGGAGTAACTGAGGTAAGTTTCTTTTATTTAGCTATAAAGTGCCCTATAAGGCTGCCTCTGACCTTGGAGCACCTTCTCGATCTGCGTGATTAACAGGCTTAACTTCGAAACAGGAACTTTGCAGCAGTTAGTTAGTACCACAGACAGACCGGAGGCGTGCCTAAGCGGCGCCCTGTGCTCCGGGGCTGCTGGCTTCTTCCTTCCACCTGCCTACCTTGGGCTTCTAGGCTAAGTGCTCTCTGAACTCCGTGTGGGGCCAACAGTGGGGTTCTGTGGTAGATTTTACTTTAGCATCAGGGCAACTTCCAGTAGGATCTCAGTGACCATCATGCTGCACTCACTCAAGGGTCAGAGGGAATGGGAACAAGGGAGGTTGTAGAGGTTGTTCCCAATTATCATAGACCTTGAAGGATCATCCCTAGATGCCCCTGAACGACCTCCTTGAGCCTCTTAATAGAGTGACTGTTAATTGTAAATTCATTTCTATCCTCACACCGCACATGTCACGATAAGAATGTTTTTTCATTGCGAGGTAGAGTCACGCTGTATTATTTGTCCTAAAGCAACCACGCTTCAGGCTCAGGGTGGGCCTCTGCTTCAGATGCTCACGTGGGCTGTTTCTGTTTGTTATGTTCACTCCTAATATGGACTTAGAAATGCTCCCTCAGCCGTGTGGCTTCTACTCTGCAGCGCACTTACCACTTTAGCCTTCCTGCATCCCTGGGTCAAATGTGCTATCTTCTCCTGGACCCTAGCAAACCTGCATGGAATGGCTATTAGCTTAGGAGACTAGAATAAAGTTTAGGAACTGAGAATGGGAAGTTAAATTGGTGCAGAGGAAAATATAAAGCCCCACGTGCTGTAGCCAAACACTTCTGGACTCTCTTCTCTGTCCTTCCTGAGCCTTGCAAATATATCACATCTATAGTTAGGAGGAGACATAAATGCCCTCAATTGCCCTGAAAAGAGAATTCAAATCACTTTTTTAAGAGCACTTCATGCTTAACTGGGAAAGAATCATAAACCCTGAGGACTCCAGGGTTCGTTCTGAAATAACCACTTACATTTATACACCTGAAATTAGGCCACCTACTGGGCTCTTCATCTTATGTTCACTCGCAGATTACCAG